CGCCATGCGGGTGGTGCGCGCCCGCAAGCAGGTGCGTCCGGGGGTCGGGGGCTGGGAGGATGGGGGGCCGGGAGGCCGAGGGGCAGGGCGAGGCGATGGGGAGGAGGAGCCTGCGCCCCGGGAGGCGAGGCCCTTGTGACGCGATCAGCCCCACCCCAAGTGCCTAACTCGCGGGATGGTCCCCCGACAGTGCTGCCCAGCCGGGCAGTGTCTCTGGTCTCTCATGTGACCAGTAGATCATCACGGGCTTCTTCCCCGGGCCTGGCAGTGGGTCGCGGGCACTCTGGGTCCGTGCCAGGCCTTCGCTTATGTTTCCAAGCACCAGCCCCGCAAGGACAGGGTTTGCGGTCCAGCCCACTTATCTCCCCGCCAGGCCATGGGACTGGGGAGTCAGAGTGAGTTGGCAAGTTAATGACCACAGGGAAGGAGAAACAGACCGCCTCCCTGCTGCCCTCCGGCTCTGCCACTGGATGGTTCTTTAACACTTTATTCCTCTTTTCATGTTGACATAACTTCAGACTTACAGGGAACGTGCAAAACTGGAACATAGAATCCTGTAGATTCTTCCCCCAGATTAGTCCAGATGTTGCCCTGTTAGCTTTACCCACCTCCCTCCCTCCCCACATGTGTTGGAGGTACATACTAGTATATACATTTATTTCTCTGAACTATTTGAGAGTATATATTTCCTAAAAACAGGCATTTTTAGAAAGAATCGCAGTACAATTTTGAACAGCAGGAATTAGCCCTGAAACAATGACTTATCAGATGTCTGTGATAGGTCCACCAGGGTCCTCTATAGCCAGGGACACTCCCGGTTCCTGCACTGCAGCCCCTTACCCTGGAGCAGCCTGTCTGCCTGCCTCTTCACCTTGGCATTTGTGAGGGGTCCGACCTAAATGTGCAGACTGGCACTCCGTTTGTGTTGCCCTGAGGTCTCCTCAGGATAAGATTTGGGACATGCAAATGAGGAATGCTCTCTGAGTCTCCTCTCAACAGGTGCCACTACACCAACCTCCCTGTCCTCTCTGCGATGGTATTTGGGGCCTCAGGCACTGAGTTGGGGCCCTCCCTGCTCCCCTGGTCGCCTTGAGGGAACCGGCAAACACAGAGGAGTCCAGGATAAGCCTGCGGTATCCGGGCAGATGCTACGGCAGAGGGTCTTGCATAAGAATCCAGAGCTGCTGAGAGGTCCTGGAGGAAAGGCCCCTGGAGTGTTCTCCCCTCCAGAGGTCAGACCTCTGGAGGAGGCTCTGGGTTTTGAAGTCTCATTCCCTGCCACTTCCCCCGCCTCAGATGGGTACCCCACCACCAGAAGCCAGAGCTAGTAAGTGTGTGCTGGGGTAGAGAGGACCACCTGACTCTGCCTCTGCCAGCCCGCCCCGAGGTTCTGGCCCGATAGGGAGAGCAGTCAGCAGAGTCCAGAAGGGGAATGGAGGGCACATCCGGAGGGGCTGCTGGGCCTTGAGCTTGTCCTTGGAGGAAGGCTGGAATTTAGACCACGGAAGAGCAGAGCATAGCCACGCAGCAGCAAAGTGTGGTGCCTGCTGCATGCCAGTGTTTAGAGCCTGTTCTCGCCTCCTCTTGGAACGTCAGACAATGGGTCAAGATCAGACCCATTTCTCCTGCAGCCGTTGGCTGGCACTGGCCCCTTTGGATGGGACGTGCACTCCTTGCTCACCAGGTCCCTGCCAGGCACAGATCCTCTCCACTGTGACCCTAGCTTGGTGTCACAACTCATCGGCCCATGTGGGAAACTGACACCAAGGGCACATCTGTATTACTTTCGACAATAAAGATAAATTAAAAAAGAAAGAAAGAAACCAACAGCAGAGGGATCGTAGGACTTGCTTGGCATCCATAGGACAGAGTCCAGAGCCTGGTCTGGGCCCCTCATCTCGAGGTTCTCCGAGTTTTCAGGAGGAGTGTCTGGGGGATGCCTGTGTGAGCACAGGTTTCACATCTGTAATCTCAAATGTAAAAGACACCAGGTGCGAGTGTGCGGCACACTAGAAGTGTTCCCCTCACAAATAACATGAAAGACAGGCATCCCAGGGGCATCTTTTATTGGCCTCAAGTAAGTTGTGTGTGTGTGTGTGTGTGTGTGTGTGTGTGTGTGTAAAGCACCTCATTTCCTGCTGCTCAATGGGGGCATGAGTAACCTGGTTACATGGAATGAGAGTCTTGATGGGCTGGATACTACCAACTGGACTGTAAATTCAAGGGCATTGCCAGGTGAGTCGTCCTGAGGCAGAACCAGCCATGACTCCTGCAGAGCTGTCATTGCCTTAGTCCCTGCCCTGGTTCCTGGCGCTGGCACAGTCGATTTGCTGATACCCTGGCTGGTTCCCCAGAGCTGCACCTCCAGCTCCTGGCAGAATGCTGATGTCTGGCTCCACCTTCTATTTTCCTGCCTCTCTTCTGCCAGGCTGTGTGACTCACCTTGTCAGAGCTGCTCCGTAAACAAGTTGCAAGGAGGACCCGGGGCACACGGACTTGGGCAGCCGTCAGGAGGTGGCTGGGTGCCTCCTGGGTGTTGGCTCTGGCAACCCCTGGATGCTGGCCCAATGCACGCTAATGGGAAGGTACCTGCCTGGGTGATGTGGGCAGATAATGAAAACCAATCCTTCCTTCCCTTTATGTGCACAGCTCGTGGCTGGGCTGAACTACTTCTTGGATGTGGAAATCGGTCGAACCACATGTACCAAGTCCCAGCCCAACTTGGCCAGCTGTCCCTTCCACGTGCAGCCGCACCTGAGGAAGGTATGTACTTGATGTGGGCCAGGGGCCAGGCACACAGGGCAGAGGGGTGGGACCGTGCCCTGGGGATATGTCATGGGTGAGTGCTGTGGCCTGGGTGGGGTGTGCAGGGGCTGGGGTGTGGGGGGGAAAGGGTGTCAGTTTGTGTGTACAGGTTCCTAATTTGATTGTATAAGGGCATTTAAGCTGGGACCTTTGAGCACCATATGCTCTGGGGGATTGTTGCCTGCTGACTGAAGGAAATAACAGGGTGGCGATAGGGCCCTTTAATCCCAGACTCAGCCACTGGAACAGATTAGAGGGGATTAGAGGCCTGTACGGGAGAAGCCCACCCATGCTGCCCTGCTCACTGAACACCAGACTCTCCCTGGGCTTGACTGGTTCCTAGGATGTCTCAGCCGCTGAAGAGACCTCCATCTGCTTGTCACCTCCTGTCTCAGTGCCAGCCCACTGGAGGTGGAGGGAACTTGGTGATACCCTGCACACTCTGGGGCTGTGTGGCTTTGCTGGGCTGCTCCTTAAAGGGCCCTGCTGGGGGTACACCAGTGTGGATTTCTGCAGGGACAGGGGGATGAAGATCTCCTGGACTTGGAGTAATGGGAGGGGTTATCGGGGGCTCCGTGGGGTCGGGGCCTGAGAAGTCCACCAAACAAGCACAGCTCCTCACCTGCACTTCGGAGACCTCGAGCTGGCCCTGTCCTTTTTGACTGTAGCCCTAACTGACCGTCTCTCTCGTCTCCCTTTTGCAGGAAGCGCTCTGCTCTTTCCAGGTATACACTGTCCCCTGGTTGGGCAAGACCTCCTTGGTGAAGTCCAGCTGCCAGGACGCATAGAGGAGATGTGACAGGCGGGGCCGCGCAGGCTGCCTCCCACTTGCACACCCCCTCCCTGGTGGGGCCCCCGCAGTGTGCTGGCCTCAGGAGATAAACGGAGAAGCTTCTGAGCCTTGTGTGACCAGCTAAGTGGCTCTCCCTTGCTTCTTTCTGTAAAGTGCTTTCTAGATGCACCTGTGCCCGGTGCACGCTCTGCTTCCACTTTACGCAATAAAACATGACGTCAGCTACTCGGGGAGTTGTTCACTGTCTCGGGATGTGCCGGAGGGTTTACAGTTACTTTACCAAGCGCTCCTGTCCCGCTAGCTCTGGAGGGCAGACGAGAGGAGAGAGCTGACACGGACGGCCATAGTGGGCATGTTGGGGAATATGCTGCCCCATTTCGGATGACTGAGTCATGGAGGGGGACTGGGAACCAAGGCTTTCGGCTGTGGTGGCTCCTGATCATCTAAAAAAAGAGGAAGGGACCTATGCTGCTGGAGACTTGGCTGCTGCGGTAGAAAAGAAGTCAAACTGTGAGCAGGGCTGGACAGTAGGGAGGGGTCAGACGGAGCCCATAGCCCAGGGCCTCCCTCGGCAAGGTTCTGCAGAGCCGTAGGTTTCTGCCAGATGTGCTGAGCCGATCAGACCCCAGGGGCTGATGTGGTGGCTGAGGTTCCCTAGAGACTAAAGAAACAATTCACCTGCTTCTCTTCATTATACACATAAAACAGAAGCAGTTCATGAAATGGTAGATGAACAAGGAGCAGACTCTTCTAAGCAGTCCTTCTGCTCTCTCGCCCTTGGCATTGGGTCTCTGGGGTCAGACTGGGGGGTTGTCTGATGTTACAGAGGTTTCTGTAGCCCAGGGTCAGACACACTTAGGGTCATTCAGATGTCAGTCAGAGCCCTGGCTGGTAGCTCAGTGGTTGGAGCATCACCCTGTGCACTGAAAAGTTGCAGGTTCCATTCCTGGTCAAGGGTGTGTAGCTGGGTTGCAGGTTTGATCCCTGGCCCCAGTCCGGCGTTTGTGGGAGGCAAACGATAAATGTGTCTCACATCGATGTCCCTCTCTTTTTCTCTCTCCCGCCTCCCTTCCTTCCACCCTCTAAAAAATCAATAGAAAAACCCAAGAGATTGCAGGTTCATTTCCTGGTCAGGGCGCGTGCCTGGGTTGCAGGCTCGATCCCCAGTAGGAGGCTTGCAGGAGACAGCCGATCGGTGTTTGTATCTTCTCTTCCCCTCTCTTTTTCTCTAAAACCAATAAAAACATATTTTTTAAAAATACCCTCAGATGAGGATTAACAACAACAAAAAATGTCAGCTGGAGTCCCCATAATCTCAGGCATGGGTGCCTGTGCCATCACCGGAGGAGCATTAAAAAATACTGTCTCCTGCTTTGCACTCAGAACTTCTGACTTAATTGGTCAGGGCTGGGGCCTAGGCACTGGGATTTTGATATCCAACTGATTCCCAAGGGAACGGCAGACCTGTAACTCAATTAGACGTCCTCTAAAAGTCCTATGACCCCTACAACATCTGGGATTTGCAGCCGGTGCAGGGTTCTCTCTCTAAGTCACACCTGCGTCCACATGTGCTTTTGGTTCCAGGGATCCATGCAGATATATAACCCAGCCCCCTTCTTGGTTCCCAGTAAATGAAAAGCAACCAAACAAAACCAAAACCACATGAAAGCATCCTTCAACCAAAGCCTTTGTTAGGTCAGTGAACTTTTGTGGAGATTTCAGGCAGCCGAAGAGATTTCTGTGGAGCAATAACCTTGACATGTTCAACCCTTTCCTTGAAACGCTCTTGACCTCACTCCTAGAGGTAGTTGCCCTTTAACCTTCACCTCACGGAGTCACTGACCTTTCTCTCACTGGTCCCTCTTTCCTTGGCATTTCTTACTTGTCCACCCTATCCCTTTCCTGGAGATCCCTTCCCAAGGATCCGCCAGCTGGAGGTCCAAACCTCCCTCTGGGCCAGAGGAGCTCAGTGCTTTCAAGACTTAATCACACCCATCAAGGTGCTCAGAATATAAAGGGTTTCCTAGTCAGCAGGCTCTACCCTCTTAGTGAAGTCCTTTCATCATGAATAGCAACATGTTTTCCTTTTCCCCAAATGCCTGCCAAATCCAGGCCCCCAAGGAACAGATTAAGAGATATACCTGCCTGTCCCTGAATGGCCACAATGGCCATATACCTGCCTGTCCCTGAATGGCCACAATGGCCACGTGCCATGCCCTGAATGGTGCTGAGGAATGCTAGCCCTTGGCCCTGTGTGTTTCTCACATCGCTTTGCCCAGGTGGAGGTAACACCACGGGAAAATCCCTGAGGTTAGTGCTGACTCACAAATCAGAGAGTGCCCGCCTTCTGATGATAAAAACAAGATAATAATTGATGTGGCGACGCCCCGCCCTTCCTCTCATTCCACCTGTTTTCAGGGAAGGTGACTCTACCTTTGAACCATGGCTTGGAGAAGGTGACCTTGGCTAAGCCAGTCAGGACAGCCCATCACCCTAAGCCTTAGTGATTGGATTAGAGAGGACCTCTTAGTTACATGAGACGGCGGTTTTACATGGGGTGGTTTTTCTAGTGCTTGTGCTCTTATGAGCCCTAACTGATAGAGAGGAGCAGGAACTGAATTCACCATTCATTCCTCAGAGCTGATCGCCCCACGGCATTTCTTGACTGTTTCAAAGTAACCCTCCAAGGGATCACCTTGCAGACAGTGCAGGTCCTGCCTTCTGGACCTGGGAGGCATTAGACCACTGATAAAAGGGCAACGTCACAGGCTGAACTGGGCCTAACAAACAGAGGCATGACTCTGTTAAGAGCCACTACTATAAAGAAATTTTTTTTAAATTAATTGATCTTACAGAGAGAGAAAGGAAGGTGTAATAGGTTTGATCAAATAATTGAATCAATGCCCCCTCCCCTGGGAACTGAGCTTTAGGCCACTTCACAATGGACATCCCACTTGCTTAGACCACATTCCACTTGCTAAGACCATTATCTCTCCCCTCCGGAGTTTCCCAGAATCCGAACCTGCACAGAGAATTCTCCACCCAGAGAAAGCCTGCCTAGAGTCCTTTAAAACCTCTGACTCTCTGTCTTTGGGGGCTGGCACCATTTGGGGGCTCTGCCAATCTGGTATCCAGATGACCTAATAAATTTCATAAGTCATTACCCCTTTTGTCCTCGGGCGTTCCTCCTTCAGTGACCCTAACAGGAGGGAGGGAGAGAAGGAGGGGAGGAGGGAAGGAGAGATGAGAGAGAGAGAGAGAGACAGAGAGAGAGAGAGAGAGATTTGTTCCACTCATTTATGCAGAGTGGTTCTAGGTGGGTTTATTTGAAATTCTGCTGACTACACCAAGCAAATGTCAATGTGAAAAAGGTCCAAATCTGTAAATCATTTATTTATAAAAATTCATTTGAAGCAAACAAAGGATAAGCCTGGAAGCAAGATCTCCACACACTTAGATGCTTCCCAGAATGGCAGTTTGAAGTTTCTTTTATGAATTTGGAATAAGGATGGAATGTAAGGGAGATAACATAAAGGTGGAAAAAACCAAGGCATGGATTGAATGGCAAGACAGTTAACAAGATTATGTTCACTCTCCAGGGTGGTAACTCTTCAGAGTGGTCTAAAAAAGAGGCGCCCTGCACAGAAATGCTCAAATCAGCTGAACACATTCGAATGCTTACATTTTCTTTTCTCTGAGAGGAAGATTGGGGAGCTTGAGAGGCGTGCCCAGAAAATCAGCTCCCTAAGAGGAAGGTCTTAACCAAGGGGGCAGTGGCTGAGTGGATCATATAAGTAAGTGTCAGCCTACAGGACTGTGTGTGTGGGCTGGCCTCTTACCTTGCATGCTTGTTGCTGTCTGAAATTCCTTTAACACAAGATGAAACCTCTTGTTCCACAATCTACACTAATAAAAGACAAACATGTAAGTTGACCATACCTTTGCTATGCCTTCAGCCACACCCACCAGCCAATCTTAGTGACTATATGCAAATTAACCCAACCAAGATGGTGACCGGCAGCCACAGAGCTGGAGCAAGCAGGAGGCTTGGTTGCTCCAGTGATGGAGGAAGCCAAGCTTCCCGCCCGCCCTGGCCGGCTCTGAGCTCCACTCAAGGCTACAAAGTTTCAATTATAGAAGGTAAATAAATCCCAGAAGAAAAAGAAAAAGAAAAAAAGGAGAGGTTGGGAGCTTCTGTCGCCAGGGGGCTTGGCCAGCCTGGAAACAGCCATCAGCCCCTCACCCGGGCTGGCCAAACCCCCATGGGGTGAGGGTCCCCACTCCGGGGAGTGGGGTGGGGCGGGTGACCAGCCTGCAAACAGCCATCAGCCCCTCACCCAGGCTGGCCAGGCATCCCAGTGGGGACCCCCACCCTAATCTGGGACACACTTCAGGGCAAACCAGCCGGCCCACACCCATGCACCAGGCCTCTATCCTATATAATAAAAGGGTAATATGCAAATTGACCCTAACAGCAGAACGACTGGGAATGACTGATCACTATGACACACACTGACCACCAGGGGGCAGACGCTCAATGCAGGAGCTGTCCCCTGGTGATCAGTGTGCTCCCACAGGGGGAGCTCTGCTCAGCCACAAGCCAGGCTGATGGCTACCAGCACAGCGGTGGTGGCAGGAGCCTCTCCCACCTCCTCAGCAGCACTAAGGATGTCCGACTGCAGCTTAGGTCTGCTCCCTGCTGGTAAGTGGGCATCCCTTGAGGGCTGCCGGGCTGCCAGAAGGATGTCTGACTGCCAGCTTAGGCCCGATCCCCCAGGGAGCAGGCCTAAGCCAGCAGGTGGACATCCTCCGAGGAGTCCCAGACTGCAAGAGGGCATAGTCTGGGCTGAGGGACCCCCCCCCCCGGAGTACACAAGTGCACTGGGCCTCTAGTCTATATATAAAAGCCTAAGGCACTGATATGATGCACACTGACCACCAGGGGGCAGATGCCCAATGCAGGCGCTGCTCCCTGGTGGTCAGTGCACTCCTACAATGGGAGCGCCACTCAGCCAGAAGCCTGGCTCATGGCTGGCAAGCGCAGATGCTGCCGGAGCCTCTCCTGCCTCCACAGCGGCACTACCAAGCAGCAGTGGCAGTGGCAGTGGCAAGCACTGTGCAGTGTGATTTTTATAGAGGCAGCAGAGCTGCACCTGGTCCCAGCTGAAACTCCTCCCTAGCACCCTGCCGCTTCAGCACTACTACATCCCTCAAAGGGATGTCAG